CTACTCGATCCGCGTCACCACTTCATCGCAGATATGGCCATCGAACGGTGGAGATGGATTTCGTGTACCTCGATCTAGGGTGGAGCGCTGCCTATGTCATCGATCCATGTCAAACAGTACGAGTCCTCTGTACTCGATCTACGTAAGGCGAGTTTAATAAACTCGATCCGCGTCGTCCTGTGCCAGCCAATTGTGGCCGTTTCGCTCGATGCACGTGGATCGATGGCTCGAAACTCGATCTGACACTAGTTTGAGTTTATTAAACTCAAACCGTGTCAAACTTCAATATTTTGGGAAATTTTTATAAAAGTGATATATTCTGAGAATTACTTTTAATTATTACTGTATTTAGGGAACTAATCCTCTTATTAATGATTGACTTCTACACGTCAAAGGAAATTTAAGCAGCCGTCGACTCGTTTCCCAATATACAAAAGAAAATGATCCTCAATTTCAATTTTTAGGGGTGAGATAGTATGTCTATATCTTGTGGGTTATCGACTTTTAAAGTATTAAATTTGTGTTTGTATTTAATAATCTTTTAAAATTAAAATTCATAACAATTAAAAAAAATTTCAAAATTAATCATGCATTATTTATATATCTGTCTCCTCCCTCTCCCTGCCGGCTGCCGCCGTACTATACCACGGACTAGGGGTGGAAATCGGTGAGGTATTGTATCCCAATACCAAATAGCGAATTATACCGTAAACTCAATCCCAATTTCAATCACTAAATAATTTTGGTATCTCAATTCCTAAATAATTTTGGTATCCCAATTCCTAAATAATTTCGGTATCTCAATCCCTAAATATTTCGGTATCCCAACTCCTAAATAATTTCGGTATCCCAATCTCAATCCCTAAATATTTCGGTATCCCAATCTATACTTCAGTATCCCAATCGGTATTATTGAATACGTAATTAATTACCTTTGCAAGTAATAATTAAATATATAAATTAGATTTGATTGTTTAATTTAGGACAAAGAGACTAAACAAAAAGTCTTGAGTTTGCCTAAAGCTAGGATATGGATAAGGAGAATGGAGGAGAGGTGAAATCTCAAATTCTTGTCATTGGTAATCCTTAATTTGATGAATTAGAGGTTGAGAGACAATTAATACTAGTGTTTGCTTTTTGGTGTTATGAAAATAACAAGAGATTAGGTTAGAAACGAGAGTCACTTAAACTGGAAAGTCAAAATTGAGTTGGATGGGGAAGTTTGTGTGTTATATTTTATTAATTTTTAATTTTTCCAGTATTTCTCGGTATTTTGGTATATACCGATCCCGATCTCGTAATCCCGAATACCGAATAGCACTCCAAAATAAATCTCAATCCCTAAAAAATAAGTCGGTATTCGGTAATACCAAATAGTGATAAATTCGCTACGGTATTTGGTATATCCCAAATACCAGTGCCAAACTTCCAGTCTTACCATGGACCCATGTCGCCTATCCCAACAACTCCTCATACCGTCGCGTCTCTGAAACTCCTCATATTGTCGCTCATCTCCTCGTCGACGACTGACACGTTTACTTCCAGTGGTAACGTTATCTGTGCACTGTTAGTTGTATCTCAAGGATAGTATAAGTAAAGTTATCAGTGCAATGATACTTTTTTTAAAGTAGTGATACTTTTTGTTTAGGTGATCGGAGGGAGTCTCCTGGAGAAAATCTAGTCAAAAGGAGTCTGTCGGCAAGAGTATGACCGGAAGGCGTCTACCGGGAGAAGGCAACAAATTTGTTGGAAAAAGAAAGAGTGGGAAATAGAGAGGGAGAAATGTAATTAATATAGGTTTGATTTTGAGAAAAAAAATTAATTGATATGAATTTTTCAAAGTGTCACTAATGCATAATAAATTTAATGCCTAAAATAGCTTTAATAAAGCGGGTAGCCATTTTTCCAACCCTCTAAAGTAGTCAGACTAGCCTCTCCCTCAATTCATTTCCAATTTTTACTCTTTTCACCGTTTTAATCACTTGCACTTGGAATAAATAAGCCTTGGAACTATTAATATGATTTATATTTTCATGACAAATTATAGATAATTATGTTCTTATCTTTGGGGAAATCAAATGCGGAAGAGAACAATAAGATAATGAAATGATAAAAAAAATTATAGTAAACCTGGCAATGATCCACTAATCAAATTTTCATAACTTAATTCCTAATGCTTTCGATCGAACTTATAATGTCCAACTTTGTGTAAAAAGTTAGGAGTATAGTCAGGAGAGAGCAGATCCGGTGAGTAATTTTATGGTGAGTAATCATGAGTAAATCGTTCACATCAGCATTCTTCTCTCTCCTGGAATCTTTTCCTCTTTAATGTTTAACTGACGATTTCTCTTTCGTTTTAAATCGAAATTTAAATTTTTTTTGCACAAATAAATCAGATTAAATGTGCTCTTCAAAATGATATTCACTTTGATATATTTTTGGAACAAAAAATATTGAGTCATTTTTTACCATTCTATACCATATGGTATTGACTCGTATTGAAATAAGAGCATACCTATAGTTTGAAAAGCATACCATGGTGGTATGAGCAAACCGAGACTGTAGGATGGTTGAATACATGATAGTAGAAGTATATTAACTGTCATTTACGACTTTTAACATTGTGTACCACAAGATACCACCTTGTACCAGGGTGGTACTGTGTGTTATTTTTTTGTCCTGTAATTTGTTCACCCAGAAATTTGTAGATCCAATAGATCATGATGAACTCGTTCCTTCTGTGCAAACATTTTCAAAAACGAAGAAGATACCATATGGTATGCAGTTGGTACCGAGAGGCAAGAAATTTTTTTCTCAAAAAATATTGAAAATGGATCTTGTTTTGTAGAGCACAACGAACTCGTTACATCTGTGGAAAAAAAATTGAAATCCAAGTTAAAACAAAGAAGATATGAGTCGATTAAATAATCTAAGAAAAATAAAAATGACATTTAATTTTTCATTTATTTTTTAAATGAATGGTTTTGATTTAGTTATTGATAATAACATAATGCACCTATCTTGGATCAGCCAGAAGAGCGTTGATTTTGAAGGAACAGAAACTTCAAACTTCCTCATCTTATCGATATTAGCAGCCAAATATCGCATGCCGTTTCGTAGTAAAGTACTAATTATTCCTTAATCTCAACCTCTTACTGCTTCGTGGCTTTTTCTGTGGAATAAATGCCAAAACATGTCTTCCCAATGCGTTAAGTTATGTACTCAGGTCGGTGGATATATCTACTTATATTTCCGCTAATTACAAATTTCGTGATTCAATATTTATATCGAATTAACCTCGATAATGCATTTTTTTTTTTTGCCAATGGATAATGCAATTCATATACGACAATTTTCGTATATGAATTTTCGTATATAATGCAATTCATATACGAAAATCTTCGCAATAGAAAAATGAAAGTGGCCCAATTGAAAATTGAATGAGACCGAATCATATTAAATATTCTTTCGATTGCTTCCGCTCCTCAATTTATCTTTATTTGCCATCTACTTCTACTCCGATTCAAACTAATTCTTAACTAAATTGAATTATACATGCATACACAACTCAGCTACAACATTGGTAAATAAAGTTTGTCGTTACCACAATAATTCGTGTTTAGGGGCAAATCTTTGCTATATACATAAAACTACCCCTACAATTTTGGATTTTGATACATAGAATCCATCGTGGATTTGGGTTAATCCATTGTTTACTTTATGAATTGTGGAGTATCAAACCTATGAATCTCATAGATTTGGGGGGTTTAAATTCGTGTATAAATTTGCAAATCTTAGATTTATATGTGGAAATTGGGTGTGGAGCACAAATCCATGATGATATATTATACAAATATCCCTTATAATTTTCATACTTCCCACTCTACAAATTATCCAATCAGGGCCATATAATAAATTGTGTTTCATACACACAAATTTAATTAAAAATCCAAGGAGTAAACAATATATTTTTCCGAATCTATAATGATCAAAACTCGCTCTCATGAATATAAGATTTTCCAAAATAAGAGTTTTAACCAAAAGCCTTATTTTTCAAATCCAACATGCAAGCCACATTTAAATTAGGGGTGACAATCGGTCGGTAACCGGTAAACCGGTTACCGGCCTAACCGGTAAACGGTATACCAAGTATGGGAGGGGGGAAATCGATTACCGTTATCGGTTTGTAACCAATTTTACCAATTTACCGTAAGAAGTTGCTTGAGATGGTTTTCGATTCGGTTTACCGGAAAATTACCTAACCAAAATTATGGGCAGTGGGGTCAGGTTGTAAAATTTTGATTTTTCTGAGTTTTTTCTTCATTTTTGTAATTAATAATTTATTATTAACTCTTATTTATAATATTTTTGGAGGGGTTTGGGCCAAAACGCAGGGTAGGGGGTTCGTTTTTAGGGTTTGGAGGGATTGGGCCAAAACGCAACGTACTGATCCCTGGTATCAGTATTACCGATTTATCGTCGGTATTTACCGTAACTGGGGCCAGTAAATCGAATTCTCCCATTACACACTCGAATACCGTTACTGCCAGTAATCAATTTACCGTTTTTCCGCTGGTTACCAGTTCGGTACAACGATAAACCGTTTACCGACTTATCGTTTGTCACCCTAGTTAAATAACAGACCCTAACATATGCCACTAGGCTTGAAACCGAAAATATAAATTAACATAATACAACTTACAATAAGCTTGAAAATTAACAAACGCCGGCATTGACTTTTAGTATGTCAACAAAATCTTTGCATCTTCGCGTTTTTTTTTTTTTTTTTTCGCACATGGCCACCTGTAAATTTCGCTCAACTTGCCAAGTGCCAACTGCCTCCATCGACGGTGGCGGCTTTTGCCTTCTATTTCTCTACACGTCAAGTTCATCCTTTGATCGAAAATTCTCCAAGAATATTAATCCAATCCAACACTCACCCAAGAATGTCGTCTCCTTCCCCGCAGAAAAGCCAAAAAGCAACACCCCTCCCACCAAAAATGTCGTCTCCACCTTCCAATCTAGTCCTCAACCCAACCTTCACGGAGCAAGAATGGCTGAAACAGATCGACCAAGCCATCCAACTCGGCCCGGAAACCATAACCAAAAACCTCTCCTCCATCTTCAGAGTCCCCGCCACCATCTCCGTCGCCAAGCCCCAGTCCTACGCCCCAAAGCTCGTCGGCCTTGGACCGCTCCATCACTTCCAGCGGCGGCTCTACCAGAACGAGCCCCTCAAGCTCGCTGGTGCCGAGCAGGCGCTCAAGCGCTTCAACGTCGCCACCGCCGCCGACTTCCCCAACCTCGTTCGACAAATCGTCCCCCTGCTTCCGGCCATCCGACTCTGCTACGACTCCCACCTCGACATCGCCGACGACACTCTCGCCTGGGTCTTAGCAATCGACGGCCTTTTCGTCGCCGAGATGCTCTACAACCCGCAGTTCCTCCTGCCCCGGACGTCGAGTTCGTTCAGCTTCTCGGAGAAGCTACGCGACATCACCGGCGACATCGTTCTGCTCGAGAATCAAGTCCCGATCTACACTCTGTTTCCGGCGGAGATTTCGGTGGATCTGTGCAAGATGCTAGAATCGTTCTGCAGGGTGCTCTCACCTTTCAAGCTGCAGGATTCTGATTCTGATGTCGAATTGAAGCCGGCGCCGAAGCATCTGCTGGATCATGTGTACCAATTGATAACGCGGGAGAAAAACAGAGCAGCCTTGCTGAGACGAGAAGAGAGCGATGTTTCCTCGCCGGCGGATGAGGATTCGGTTATTGCCATCGGCGGATTGGGGACTCTGGCCGATGATCTCGCCGAAAAAGTAGGTGACGCCAGCGAAGACATCGGCCCTGTTCAGAACGTCACCGCCGGGATTGAGAGGCTCGCCCAAATACAGAGTACGTCCTCTATTCCATACCCAATTCTTCACAACATTTGGATCCTCATACGATTTCTGATTTCATCAAGAATTCTGATTAATCAAAATATTGAATTTTGTTTTATGATTCATATTTAGTCATATAAATAGATAAATCGATAAATTGTGTCATAATGACAAAATGTGCGTCAACACAAATTCTTAGTATCGAATTCAAATTGTACAATAAATTGAATTCGCGTTTCAAATGTGCTTTTTTGCAGTAAGAAGCCCGATCAGCAGCATTTTCAGGATACTCGACATACTGGGGATCTCCAGTTTCGTGAACGAAGCACTGGAAGACGAAATCACGCTTCTCCCATCAGCCGGAGACCTCAAAGGCGCCGGGGTGAAATTCGCCGCCACGACCGGCGGCCTGAGATGCATCGAATTCGACGAATCCGACGCCGTTCTGACCCTCCCTGCATTCTCCTGGAAACCCAGCAGCGAGATCGTGATCCGAAACCTGGTGGCGTACGAGTCCCTGGCCAAACCGGACTCCGCGATCCTGACCCGGTACACGGAGATGATGCACGCCATGGTCCAGGACAAGAAGGACGCGAAGCTGCTGAGAGAAGACGGGATCGTGGAGGGGAACAACGCCGCCGCCGGCGACGAGGCGATGGTTGCTCTGTTCGGCGGGATGGGCAGGTCGCCAGATCCGATGAGCAGGACGGTCCTGGACAAGCCGATTCTGGAGGTGAATTCGTACTACAACAGGAAATCGAAGGTCGTGGCGTCCAAGGTTTTCAAATTGGGTGTGAAGGCCCTGCTGAGGGTGCTGATGGTTGTCGCCGCCATTGCTCTGCTTGTGATGTTTTCAATTCAGTCGTACTGTAGCATCTATGTGTGCGCCGGGACGACGGGTGGCGGGTTGTTCGGAATTGGGACCCTGGAATCGCCGGTGGGACGGCAGATTGGTGGCGGCGGTGGGATGTCCTCTTTGTTGTCATCTGTTTAGAGGGATTTGATTGATTTTTGTGGGGTGGGTCAAAGAGATTAAGGGAAGTGGGTTAGTTGGTCTTTGTTTGGTTTTTGTGTATAATTTATGTCAGTAATTAGGGCTGTATATTTAATTAACGTTAATATTTGTTTTGTCTTATATTCTTTTCCACGCGTGGTGTAATTGTTGGCTGGGAGATGTTCGTCAGTCGTCACAACGCATTACACGTCTCTTTGTTTTAAGTGTATAATTTCTTGTAAGGAAGTTATTGATTAAGTTGATTAATTGCAATAAATACCAATTTGATTGTTTGTAATTATTTTTGAACAATGATTATAATTATCTATTGTGTGTCGGTTTAAGTCGTTGATTCGGTCAAGCAAGTGATTTTTTTTATACCCAGGAACCTCAGCTCCAAGTGTCACTTTGTGACAGCCGGGCCTTACTAAAACTGGGGGGTCCACCTGCAATCAATTCGACGCTAACAGGGCTTCGCCCCCAGCAGTCTTGTACCTCCTGGATCACCAACGGGCCTCGCTTGGATTCGAACCTAGGATCTGCAACTCCCAAACCTTCACTATCGCGACAGCTTTACCATTAGACTATCTACCTTTGGTGCAAGTGGTTTGAAGTTTAACAGTATGACCGGGGTGCAAGTGATTTGAAGTTTAATAGTATGACTGAGTTCCAAGTTATTTTATACAAATAAGGTGGTAATTTAGGATATTAATGAGTGAAATAAAATTTACCATATATATAATTATATTAGAAACTCAACTCTCATAAAAAAATACATAACCCTCATGACTCATCCACCATCCTCCTTCCTTCCCCCCCTCTCCCTTCCTTTTTTCTTCTTCCCCTTCTTTAGCAGTCAAACCAATGACATTTTGGAGATCGTTCTATAGCCCGAAAGTGATTGGATCGAGATGAAGTGACAGGCCGGTAGAGGTTTAATAAGTCTCGTGTGATACGAATTTGCAAATATGTATTATAGATTAAGGCACAAAAATAAAAATAAAAATGGAAGAAATTACAATAAGAGTTTGAGCAAAATAAATTATATGTAACCCAATGTGGTCAAGGCACCCAATTCCGTCGAAGTACTCACCTAACGGCTAACAGCTTTTGAGGCGTTTAACTGCATGCATTGTTGGGTCGTCAGTAAGCTCATACAATGGTTTCAATTTGGTGTTGCATGAGCTAGAAAATGGGCTCCTGGATTCACTTTCCTGCTGACAAAAGCCCAACCCACATTAACACGAGAGAGGTGAACATGAAGGATGGGACACAAGTCGCCAAATTTCCTTCAGCAACTCTGAGTTCTGATCTATCATGTTCATCTTCTTACTTCTTAATCAAAACCACAGGATTAATGCCATATTTGGTCACTGAGTTTTCTAAAAAGTTTCATGTTTAATCACTCGAAATATTTTATTTCAATGTTGGTCATCCAAATTAGTAAAACGATCTATGTTTGGTCACTCTCCGGTAGTCTCTGTCCAACTCTATTAATGAAGTCCGTTATCTGCTGGCGTGGCAAACGAAATCGCCTAATCAACCTGGTTTGACCCAGAAAACAGTAAACCCGACCCAACACATTTTCACAACCCGCCACATCATCCCAACCCAACCATCGAACCCAACCTGTGTTGGACCTGGTCTGGAAGTTAGAAGAAGAAGGAATCTGAATCCTTAGCGGAGAAGGATTGAAGTGGCGCCTTTGGAAGTTTGGAGTTTAATGAAATAGTGTCTTTTAGTTTATTCTTGTTTGGTACCTACATTTATTAGTCGAGTCAGTTTGATCAGTGTCCATTATGACTTGTGAACAACGGCTCGAGCAAAACAGATTGCAGATCTTCAGCTTAGTTGAGGATTAGTTTGTTGTTGATTCATAGGAGAGTAGCTATGTTAGTTTTTCCTTGGCCGATTTCTGTGGCCTATTCTCGTGTATTTATTTCCTTTCATCTTCAATAAACAAATTTTCAGATTGCAATACGATTTAGGCTTTCATTGTGGTATCAAAGCCTACTCGCAAGCTGTAACCAGAAAGTGAGAGAGATCTGCAGGAAATAGCAGAGTGGGTATTTGGGAAATACGAGAGATTAAAGTGAGGAATCAAGGAAGATATTTGGGTGTGTGAGAAATATGAGTGAAGGTAGCAGCAGCTATGCACAGGTGTGCATACCTAGATTCGATGGAGATTTTGATCATTAGAGCTTATTGATGGAAAATCTACTTCGATCGAAAGAATACTGGGAGGTGGTAAGTGAAGGATTCAAGGAGCCCACAAATGGAGAAGTTCTATCTGAAGCTCAATCCAAACGGCTTGAAGAACTCAGGCACAAGGACTTGAAAGCCAAGAATTATCTTTTCAACTCCATTGATAAGGTTATCTTGAAGACCATCACGAAAAAGAGGACTGCTAAGGAATTGTGAGAAACTATGAAGATCAAGTACCAGGGAAGCGCGAGAGTGCAGAAGCTCATTTGCAAGTTCTAAGAAGGAATTTTGAGCTGCTGGAAATGAAAGAAGGTGAAACTATAACTGAGTACTTCAGTAGAGTAATGGTTATAGCTCTATGAGAAATTGTGGCGAGAACCTGACAGATGTGAACATTGTTGAGAAGATACTGCGAACTTTAACTGAAAAGTTTAACTTCGTGATTTTCTCAATTGAGGAATCAAAGGATATAGAAACTTTAACTGTTGATGCTCTCCAAAGTTCCATAATTGTGCATGAACAAAAGTTTCAAAGGAAGGGCGCTGGTGAAGAAGATCAGGCTCAAAGGGCATCACATGAGTATGTTGGAAGAGGTGGTAGAGGCTATGGAGGCAGGAGCTACCAAGGAAGAGGTCGAGGAAGAGGAGGAAGAGGCTGGAACAAGCAATCAGTGGAATGTTTCAAATGCCACAGATTGGGACACTACAAGTATGAGTGTCCAGAGTGGGAAACAAGCCAGCAGTCCTACTATGCTAGCTATCAAGGAAGAAGCCAAGGAGACCTGAAAGATGACATGCTGCTTATAGCCTACCTGGAAGGAGGGCAAAACTTCAAAGGAAACTTCCACAGCAATGAAACCTGGTGGTTCCTAGACTCTGGATGCTCCAACCATATGAGTGGTGACAGAAGTTGTTTCACAGATACCAAGTTTAATTGCACTATCAGACTTGGTAATGACACCAGACTGAATGTTGTGGGAAAGGGAACTGTCAAATTGCTGGTAAACCAAACATCATTGTTGATGCAGGAGGTGTTCTATGTGCTTGCACTCAAGTCAAACCTATTGAGTGTGGGTCAACTACAGGAAAAGGTCTCTCATTTCTCATCAAAGGAGGAATGTGCAAACTGTTCCATGAAGAGAGAGGTCTGGTGTTGCAGACAGAAATGAAATCAAATCTAATGCTTGTCTTACAAGCTGAAGCAAGAAGAGGAATAGATGGGCAATGTCTGCAAGTGGATCAATCAAAAGAAGATTCTCTAGAGCTGTGGCACAAAATATTTGGACATATAAGTGTTCAAGGGTTGCTGGATCTTCAAAAGAAAAAGCTAGTTCAAGACTTGCAGAGTGTGAAAGGTGAAACAGGAATCTGTCGGACATGTATGATGGGGAAACAACACAGACTTCCTTTCCCCAAGAAGAGCAGGTAGAGAGATACTCAAAAGCTGCAACTACTCCATGCTAATCTGTGTGGACCAATAACTCCAACTTCAAATGGTGGTAAGAGGTACATCCTGACGTTGACGGATGACTTTAGTAGGAAGCTCTGGGTGTATTTCATGCCAGCCAAATCTGACACTCTATAAAACTTTAAGAAGTTCAAGAGTTATATAGAGAAGGAAACTGGAAACAACATTATGTGTTTGAGAACAAACAGGGGAGGAGAGTTTATGCTGCATGAATTTAAAGATTTATGTGACGAGGCTGGTATAAAAAGACAGCTTACTGCTGCTCTTACACCTCAGCAAAATGGGGTGGCTGAAAGGAAAACAGGACAATTATGAATATGGTAAGGTATGTTTTGGAGGATTGCAAGGTGCTTGCATCCTTCTGTCCAGAAGCTGTGGAATGGGCTGCTCATGTACTCAACAGGAGCCCAACTACTAATCAGGGGAAAATAGCTCAGGAGATCTGGACAGGACATACTCCATCAGTCTCACACCTAAGGGTGTTTGGATGTGTGGCTTATGTCCATATACCTGACCAGCAGAGAAAGAAACTGGACAACAAAAGTGTGAGATGCCAATTCTTGGGCATTTCTATGGAATCCAAAGCATACAAGCTATTCAATCCAACCACTAAGAAGGTCGTGATCAGCAGGGATGTGGTCTTTGATGAGCAAAAAGGCTGGCGTTGAGAGGCTGAAACACAACTAGTACTCACTAAGATCCATTGGGAAGGAAGTGATGATGATTGGCTTGATTCAGACACTGAAGAAGAAGATCCTGCTGAAGGATCTAACAGAAACACAACTATAAATCAGTCACCACCACCAAAAAATCCTGTACAAGTCACTCCCAACACAAACCAAGAAGAAGAAGAATAAGAGACCTTTGGTTCTCCTACTGATGTTCTTGGTCTGCCTGCCACAAAACTAGGACCACGAGTAAGACACCCTCCTAGTCATTTGTCAATCTATGATTGTAGCTTTGCTGATACAGAATGGAGGGTTATGGTAGCTGTGTCAGATGATCCAGTTACTTTTGAAGAAGCAGTGACTGAACCTAAGTGGAGAAAATCAATGAATGAGGAGATGACCTCCATAATAAAGAACCAGGCATGGATGTTGACTAAACTTCTAGAGGGAGTAGTTCCAATTGGCCTCAAATGGATCTTCAGAACCAAGTATAAGGAAGATGGGATAGTAGACAAATACAAAGCAAGATTGGTGGTGAAGGGGTTCACTCAAAGGCAAGGGATAGACTACAATGAGGTATTTGCTCCTATTGCTCGATGGGATACTATAAGAATTTTGTTAGCTTTTGCAGCATTTCATGGCTTTGAAGTTTATCAATTA